ATAATTATTTGGGATGAAATAACAATGGCACCTAAATATGCGTTGCAAGCTATGGAGTCTATGCTAAGAGATATTACAAAATGTAATAAACCATTTGCAGGTAAAGTTATTTTGCTATCAGGAGATTTCAGACAAGCTTTGCCAATTGTTCCGCATGGTAGTCGTACTCACATTGTTGAGGCATGTGTAAAAAATAGTACATTATGGCGTCATTTTGTAACAAGGTATTTACATTCTAACGTTAGATTAAATAATAAACAGATAGAGTTTTCAAATTGGTTGTTGAATGTCGGTAACGGTAAATCTCAAAGTATGTTCGAAAAAGAAAATAGTGTTTTAGAAATTCCATAAGAATTAATATCTAATGGAAATTTAATTGAAGAAATATATGGTCCATCAATAAGTTCAAATGATGTTTCAGTTTATTCTTCATGCATTCTTTCATTAACTAATTCTGAAGTATTAGACATAAATGAACGCATTTTATTAAAATTAGAAGGAGAAGAAGTAGTTTATTACAGTATTGATTCACATATATTGACGATGATTCAAAAGATATAAATAATATAGTTCCAATAAAATTTTTAAATAGTCAAACACCAGATGGTTTACCAACACATAAATTAACAGTGAAGATAGGATGTATAATTATGCTATTAAGAAATATGAATTTAGTGCAGGGTTTATGTAATGGGACTAGATTAATTGTAAAATCTTTACTAAAAAACGTAATTTCTGCACAAATAATAACAGGAAAATCTAAAGGTGAAATAGTTTTTATTCCTCGTATAGATTTATCTCCTTCACAAGATACATATCCTTTTAAGATGATAAGAAGACAATTTCCAATTAGACTTGCATATCCAATGACAATTAATAAATCTCAGGGTCAATCTTTTGTTAGAGTAGGAATATATTAACCAATTTCAACATTTGGTGACGGTCAAATCTACGTTGGTTGTTCTAGAGTCAAATCAAAGGAACATCTGAAAATTTATGCGGTAGGTTCAGCAGTTATAAAAAATTCAGAATTTACAGAAAAGTTATATATTAAAAACATTGTTTATCATGAAATACTATAATTCCATACTTATTTATTTTTATATACAAAAATTTATATGTAGATAATATGTTTATTTACTATAAAAATTACACACATATATATATATATATATATATATATATATATATATATATATATATATATATGGGACGTTCTTTGTCAACCGGACCACCCCATCTCTCCATAATTGGTTTAATTTAAAAAAATTTTATCATATTGGAAAAATTAGCTTGGAATATCTACTTTTTAATCCCGTTGGGCGCTTTTTGAAATTCAAAATGGCGACTTAAATATGGCGCCTAAACGACATAAAAAACACAAAAAATCCACTAATATGATCTATATTATTGTTTAAAGCTTCACATATGACGATAAAAATAACCACAACATAGTTTACTTACAAACTGATAACGTATCTCCATTCAAAATTCAAAAATTCAAAATGGCGGATTAAATATGGCGGATAAAATTAAAAATTGAGCTAGACCCGTGAAAATTACTACTTGGGGGTTTTCGAGGTCGCTGATTACGAATCCGGTGTTAGTTTTCAAAAATTCAAAATGGCGGATCCAATATGGCGGACAAAAATTGAAAAAATGGAGCTAATTTCGTAAAAATGTCTACATAGGGGGTTTTTTGGTCGCTGATTACAAATCCAATGTCAGTTTTAAAAAATTTTTAAATAGTTGATGACAAATCTCTATTTAAAATTCAAAATGGCGGATAGAATTAAAAAATTAAGCTAGTTTTGTGATTATTAATTAAATAATCCTCACGTAATTTCCATAAAAAGTTATCTGGCGTTGTATTTGATAAGTTCAAATGGCACCTTTTTACGTTCAATATAAAAAAGTTAGATCAATTTTTTATATTTTGGTCCACCATTTTATATTCACCATTTTGATTTTTTAAAAAGTAACGATGAATTCGTAAAGATTGTCCTGAAAAACCCTTAGGTAGACATTTTAACGAGTTTAGCTCAATTTCTTGGATTTTTGGTCAGCCATTTAGAATTTTTAAAAAGTAACCGCAGATTCGTAATCAGTGGCCCCGAAAACCCCCCAGTAAACAATTTTACGGGTTTAACTTAATTATTTAAATTTTGGGCTACTATTTTAAGTCTGCCATTTTGAATTTTTAAAATCTAATAACGGATTTGTAATCAGCGACCCCAAAAACCCCCGAGTAACAAGTTTCAGGCGAATCTAAACGATTTTTTAATTTTTGTCCATCATATTGGATCCGCCATTTTGAATTTTTGGAAACGAATACCGGATTCGTAATCAGCGACCCTAAAAACCCCCGTGTAACAAGTTTCAATCGAATCTACACGATTTTTCAATTTTTTGTCCGCCATATTGGATCCGCCATTTTGAATTTTTGAAAACTAACACCGGATTCGTCATCAGCGACCCCAAAAACCCCCGTGTAACAAGTTTCAATCGAATCTACACGATTTTTCAATTTTTCCGCCATATTGAATCTGCCATTTTGAATTTTTGAAAACTAACAACGGATTCGTAATCAGCGACCCCAAAAACCCCCGAGTAACAAGTTTCAGTCGAATCTAAACAATTTTTCAATTTTTGTCCGCCATATTGGATCCGCCATTTTGAATTTTTGAAAACTAACACCGGATTCGTAATCAGCGACCTCGAAAACCTCCAAGTAGTAATTTTCACGAGTCTAGCCATATTTAATCCGCCATTTTGAATTTTTGAATTTTGAATGGAGATACGTTATCAGTTTGTAAGTAAACTATGTTGTGGTTATTTTTATCGTCATATGTGAAGCTTTAAACAATAATATAGATCATATTAGTGGATTTTTTGTGTTTTTTATGTCGTTTAGGCGCCATATTTAAGTCGCCATTTTGAATTTCAAAAAGCGCCCAACGGGATTAAAAAGTAGACATTCCAAGCTAATTTTTCCAATATGATAAAATTTTTTTAAATTAAACCAATTATGGAGAGATGGGGTGGTCCGGTTGACAAAGAACGTCCCATATATATATATATATATATATATATATATATGAGGCAAAATTCCTGAAATGTCCGAACAAAAAATTGAAAGTTCTCGAATTTAATCCATACTTTTCTAAAGTGTTGTTATTGTTGGTGAAAGTCTAAAAATCAATTATTATTGAATTTAATAAAATAGTTTTTGAATTACAACGTTTTTAATTTTTGACTTTTGAAAAAAAAAATTTTTTTCAATGTACAATATTTATAAGTAGAATGCATAAAAGTTAACATATATATAATGATTTTTAAAGGTTTTTTGACGAGCTACACGCTGTTAATAAAATTTTTTTTTTTAAATAACATTTGACCTTGAAATTCAAGGTCAAATTGTTAATTTACGTTTATCTCAAAATCGGATTTTTTAAAATTATTTTTAACTATCTCAATGAAAAGCTTGACTAATTTCCTACAAAACATGTAATTTTCAGAGTGGGATCTTTTAAAGTTTTTGAGATATTAATTAATTAATTAATTAATGTTTATAACAAATGAAATATTTTACAAACGAATAAAGTTACCGTAATTCTGAAGTTAGTAATTGAAAGTTAACGTAATTCCGCATCCAACGAGCCCTATATGAAGTATTTTGGATAAGTAGATTGTTAATAAACAATTAGTTAACATTGCAATTGTTTATTAACAATATACTTATCTAAAATACTTCATATAGGGCTCGTTGGATGCGGAATTAGCTTAACTTTCAATTGGTTAATTTAGATTTACGATAACTTTATTTGTTTGTGAGATATTTTATTTTTTATTGTTATTTAACTAAAATTGAACAAAAATACTTCATATAGGGCTTTTGGATGCTTGTTGTTAGTAAAAAATAAAATATCTTACAAACAAATAAAGTTATCGTAAATCTAAATTAACCAATTGAAAGTTAAGCTAATTCCGCATCCAACGAGCCCTATATGAAGTATTTTAGATAAGTATATTGTTAATAAACAATTGCAATGTTAACTAATTGTTTATTAACAATCTACTTATCCAAAATACTTCATATAGGGCTCGTTGGATGCGGAATTACGTTAACTTTCAATTACTAACTTCAGAATTACGGTAACTTTATTCGTTTGTAAAATATTTCATTTGTTATAAACATTAATTAATTAATTAATTAATATCTCAAAAACTTTAAAAGATCCCACTCTGAAAATTACATGTTTTGTAGGAAATTAGTCAAGCTTTTCATTGAGATAGTTAAAAATAATTTAAAAAAATCCGATTTTGAGATAAACGTAAATTAACAATTTGACCTTGAATTTCAAGGTCAAATGTTATTTAAAAAAAAAAAATTTTATTAACAGCGTGTAGCTCGTCAAAAAACCTTTAAAAATCATTATATATATGTTAACTTTTATGCATTCTACTTATAAATATTGTACATTGAAAAAAATTTTTTTTTTCAAAAGTCAAAAATTAAAAACGTTGTAATTCAAAAACTATTTTATTAAATTCAATAATAATTGATTTTTAGACTTTCACCAACAATAACAACACTTTAGAAAAGTATGAATTAAATTCGAGAACTTTCAATTTTTTGTTCGGACATTTCAGGAATTTTGCCTCATATGTGTGTGTGTTTAATACGGATAATATTATATTGTTAACTTATAGTAAATATGTAATATGTTACACATACATATCTGTATTTATAACATATTATATTAGTAAACTATATTTTAATATAATAATATTATTATCATATATCACACTTATTAAGTAAGATTAGTTATTAATTAGGTTAATTAGGAATGGTTAAGCAGGGATGTGAGAGAATCTTGAAGATAGAGCAAGTCTCGCGAAAAGACGCGCGACTTGAGGGCGCTTCCAGAATACGTGCAATTTGTCTTGCCGAGCATTTTGCTCTTGCATTTGCGCTTGCTTTCTGCGCGCGCACCTGTTTTGGTCCACTCATTCCTATTTTTTAATAGTTTCCTAATTTATTTCAATTGTTTATAGTGTAGAAGAAATGTTTTTGTCGCAAAGTTTTAATGAATAGAAAAATAGTGCATATAGTGCATAAATTAATTGCTGAAAATTGAAAACATCTTTTTACATAGTATAAAGGTAAAATTATATCATGTCTATATATTTATACATAAGTATATGATTGTGTCACTGATCTCTATAGAGATCAGTGGTATGTGTAGTTAATAATGTGAAAAACAATTTCTCTTTTTGAAATTGTTAAACATTGTAATTTTAAAGGATGTTGATTTTAAATGTTTTGTATTAAAAGTCGATAGTTTTTTTGTATCGTCACTTTAAAAATTGCAAACATAACCTACAATTTGTGAGAACAAAATTACAAATTTTGAACAAAAATATTTTTGTTCACAAAATTAAGTAATTAATCTTGATTTATAGCAATAATATATAAATTAATAAATTAAATTTCAATTTCGATAATTTAAAAAAATCCTGAAAAAATAGTAAAAATCATTTACCCACGACGGGATAAGGCTTAAAATTTGCGTAAAAGGAAATAGTTTTGTTTAAAAATTATTTTAAAAAAAACGAAGGATACAAACAATTTTGAAAATAAGATTTTAACAAATAAATTACAAGTTATGAGCAATGAAAAAAATATTTTTCTTAAAAATTGTAAATTTTGAAACATTCATATTTCTTAAAAGGCTGCATAAAAAATTTGAAAAAAATCATATACCTCTTTTTCATGGAGTATGAAAAGGTAAAAAAATTTTAGCCAATTTAAAAATGTCAATTTTGATGATATGTCAATTTGACGTGGAATTTCTCATATATAATAATTCTTTTTTTACAGGCGTAAATTAACACAATTTTAACAGATTATCGATTCTTTCAATTTTGGAGGAAAAATGTTGATGCATTATTATATTGCTCTTTTATACTTGCAATGGCTGAAATTGTTAGTTTACTGTCTGGAACTTCATCAAATGCAAAATAGATCTAATCGGCGTTGGCATGTGAGGCCTCATATAAGTAATGTCATGCGAGATACTTTTGGGGCATATGAGCGATTATTTCTATATTTTGCAAACTGCGACCAAGAGAAGTTTAAGCAGATGTGTAAACTCACAGTGGAAGCCTTCCAAAAATTGCATAATATTGTTGGACCTAGGCTTGTAAAAACAAGTCGCAGGCGTCCGTTACCATCTGAATTAAGATTGGCAATAACATTAAAGTAAGTAAAATTTATTTAGTAAATTATACAATTGTAATACCTATATATTCGTAGCACTTGAAACAAAATAAATTTTTAAGTTTTAAGCAATGTTTAAACCAAAGTGTTTATTTGTATACATTTAACTTTTTTATAGTTTTTTGGCTCATGGTGACAGCAAGTGCACTTTGGCTAATTTCTTTCGTGTGGGTCTCAGTACTACGTATGCAATTATATCAGAAGTGTGTCCTTTGATTTGGGAACTTCTCTCGCCTATCTATTTACGCTGGAAAACACCTGCAGAATGGAGAGGTGTCGCAGAGGGATTTCGTGTGAAGTGGAATTTTCCAAATTGTTTAGGGGCTATAGATGGGATGGAAGTACGAATTAGAAGGCCGCCAAGATCAGGAACTCGTTTTTTTTGCTACAAGAAATACTACAGTATCAAGTTACTCGCCATTTGTGATTCGTATTACAGGTTTACGTGGATTGATCTAGGACAGTATGGTAAGCCATTTTAAAGTAAATTATTATTATTATTATCAAATTAAAAAATAAATAGAATAAACCTGATTGTAATTACGGTTTTATATAAAACTCTCTTTTGAAAAAAATGAAAATTTTTAAAAGAGATATACTTTTGATGAAATTGTTTTATTTTATATTTTATACTAAATATTTTTAAAAAAATTTTTAGGCTCCTTCAGTGACTTATTAGCGTTTAGGAACTCAACATTATACCAAGCTTTGGAAATACAACAAGCAGGGATTCCGGAAGAAAATATATTGCCTCGGACAAACTTACGGTTACCATATTTTTTTGTGGGCGATGAAATTTTTCCTATCAGACCATATATACTGAAACCTTTTGCACGACAGTATGCTCTCACTGAAAATCAGAGAAATTTCAATTACAGGTAAATTTTCAAACTTACATTTAAACTATGGTGTTTACGAATTAACATGAATTAACATCTGAATGCTGGAAAACCTTAAAATTTTAATTAAGGATGTTCAACCCCTTAACATAATCTCAATATAAAAATTAGTTCTTTAGATATAACTAAAAAAATATTTAATATTGATTTATTCCAATTTCGAAAGATCAAGTTGTACAATATTCAGAAAAAAATATTTTGAGATAAAATTTGTAGTTAATTAATAAATATGTAACATTTTGTGTTTTTTCTTAAAAACTAGTGAATAATTTTAATTTTTATTTAATTTTTATAACCAATAACTCATTTTACTCTTAAAAAGATTCTCTACAATTCTGCTCGTTGAATTTCGTTTATAAAAATTTTGTTTGAAAATTATTTAATAAACAAATTTTATTTATTTAATAACTTTGGAACAAAATTTTTTTAACAAAATTCAACGAGCAGAATTCTAGAGAATCTTTTGAAGAGTAAAATGAGTTATTGGTTAAAAAATTGAATAAAATTTTTTTAAGAAAAAACACAAAATATTACTTAATTATTAATTAATAGCAGATTTTATTTTAAGTTTTTTTCCTGAAAATTGTGCAACTAGATCTGTCGAAATTCGTATAAATTAATATTAAATATTTTCTTAGTTATCTAAAAAAATACTTTTTAGATTGAGGGTTGAACATCCTTAATTTCAATAATTATAAGAGTTTTTTTACGAGTTCCTTAATTTCTTTATATTATTAATGGATTATTGACAAAAAATTTTTTTATTCATGGATCATAATAATATGTAACAGAAAATATTTTTTGGTCTTAAAAACTTTGAAAAATCTGGGAATTTTCTTGGCGAAAAAACGTGGCAACCCTGTGCCTTTTTTTTATTTATAATTAATTATTTGGGAACTTTCAGAAAATAATTACATTTTGCTTCATGAAATTTCAGGTTGTCACGAGCTCGAAACACTATAGAATGTGCTTTTGGAAAGCTCGACTCAACTTTTGAAGTTTTACAACATTGCCTAGATTGTGAGATAGATACTACGGAAAACATTGTCAAAGCAATATTGTGTCTTCACAATTTCATTATCGACGAAAAGGTAAACATTCCGAAGGAGGCACCTCAAAGAATAGCAAGACCCTGGCGCAATTTACCTTCTTTCCGAGATATATTGCCTGCAGAAGAAACAGACTTAAGCGAAATAATGACTGCGTACTTTCTCTCCGAAGAGGGACAAATTATTTAATAAGAGTTAAATTATTATAAGAGTACAAATCATTTTCATGCTTAATGTTTTCAATAAATAACTTTCATAAAAAAACTATGATTCAAAATAATTTTTATTTCCTTTTGCATACAAATGTAATATTCAATATTATAAATTTAGAATAAGTACATTTCTAAATACTTAAAGTTTTCACATACGAGAAGCATATTCTTATTGACATTTATTGAACTATTATTTCATAAACCAAATAAAATTTTGTAACACTGTTTTTGAAACTTTTGTTACAAAAAAATTAATTTCATTACATGATATTATAGCACTAATATAATAACAGTAATAATGGTTTACAAGAAGACAAAATGCAGTAATAGACCGATCGGAATTAAGTTTCATTTTTATAATTCCTTTAATATCAAAATCAGTGTTTTTGTAAATAAAAAAGAATTTAGAATTTCAATTTTTTGTAAGATTTTTTTAGTATGCGATTCAAGCATTTATTTTTTGTTTCAGAGCCAATAACTTTAAAGTTAAATAATAATTTATTAACAGTATTTTACCTCTCTAATTGGACTTTAATTATATAAATTTTTTAATTTATCTTTAACGTAATTTATTCGTTTTAATATCACCATTACCATTTTTAAATGTTTAAAATAAAAAAATAGACGCAGATGAAATGATATAAAAGTAAAAGGTCGTAATGTATTCTTTCAGAGAGGCCTCTTGACTTAACTTCAAATATGTAAATAGTTTTTGAAAGAACTTAAAATGCATTTAAAATTTATTTTGCTCACTTTTGAAAGATTTAATTGAACAATATTTTTAAAAACATTTTAAAAGTTACGATTCGTTGATATTTATGAACATTTAATTAATGTTTATAAATGCGGATAATTAGTTTCATTATATAGTGCTAATAATAGTCATATGAATGAATATTATTTTACAGGAATTTTCAAAAGGAAAAACTCATTTTACTTCGTGACAGATTCTCTACATTTATGTATATGTACACTTTACTTGAAATATTTTTAAAAAGTTATTAAAAAATAAAATTTGCTTACTTATTCATTTTTAATAATTAATATTTTCAATACAAACTCAATGAAATAAATCATAAAGAGAATCTTTTAAAAAGTAAAATGATCTTTTGCTTTTAGAAATTAAATAAAAAATACAATTTGTATATGTAAATTTTTACTGAAAAGAATGTTAAATATATTTTTAATTATTTTAAAAAGTAATTTCCAATTTCCGGTTATGTTAAGGGAATAAGCTTCCTTAGATTTTTAGAAGCAATAACGAAAATGCCTTAATCCCAAAAAGAAATTAAGCAAAATGGTAAAAAAGAAAAAAGTGATAAATAAGAAAAATGTAACAAATTTTACATTCTTTTACTTATCTGTGAATTAACCAGATCTGTTACATTGGAGACACATTGTCTCTTCTTATTTGGAAGAGGAAATATTTTCAGGAAGGAATATTTTCTTTATTTGCACCTCTATTACTTGTTTCCTCGTCTTGAATGTGTCGGAATATATTACCTAAATTACAGAGGTAATTAAGATTATTCTCTTACAAAAATAAACTAGAAACTGATAAATGAATAAGAATCTATACTATTACAATTATATATACAAAATTATCATAGAGCAATAGAGATAAAACGTGACACTATAGCTTATCAATAATATGGGGTTAAATGATTTAAAGTAATGTGGATTTATTTATTTATTTATTTATTATCAAGCTAATTATATAATAACATATACATATTCAATCTGAATAAACAGTATTTCAATCATTGTTTAAACAAATTATTATTGTCATTCAATAAATTTCGACTTAGTGTACCCAGAAAAATGCAAATTTTTTATAATTTTACAATTTACCAAAATTAAAAAAATCAAATTAAATAGGGAAGAAATTGCATCTTTTTAAGTTTATTAAGTAAAAAGTTATTTGGACAATAATAATTTCTTGAAACAATTATTGAGACAATGGTTGTATAATTCATGACTATATATGTTGGGCCGATAAATTACAAAATTATAAAGAAACTACAGATTCTTAACAACAATAAATTACATTACTAGTTAATTATAGAACAATTATAGTAAAAAACTCCAATGTTTTAAGTATTTTTTTTAATATGCAAATAGTAAATCATTATAGGGTGAAAAAATACCGCTCATATGGCGCTCCATATTACAAATTTTATAGCGCGTTAGAATTTAGTTAAGAACAACGTTTGAAGAAAAACTGTTAAAATATGAAATAAATAATTCATGGTTACGACATAGTTACGACATTAAATAATAGTATACGGTTCAGGAAGTATAATGCATTATACTTACTGAACCGTATATTATTATTTAATAATAATTTTGAATAAAATAAAACTTAATAATATCATATTGAATAAACTCAATAAAAACATAAATTTGTCAATTTTTGAATAAAATAAAATTATATTTTTTTGAAATATAACAACAAACATTTCTAAAAAATTTTCAATTATTTGACCATATATATGTTTCAAAGAAATTTCCATTCAACTTACCTTCATTTCTTTGAGGAATAGGTAATTCTTCATGATATCGTCCCATAATTTCAATTTCCTTACCATATGGATGGGTTGTAGTCGTACTACGAAACCAAAAAAACATACATTGCATTAAAAAAATGTAATTAAAACATAAAGCATGACATAAAATATTAAATTAATGAATAAATGTAAATAAAGAAATAAATAAATATTCTTTTACATCTCTTTAATAATCAATTGTTTTAGAAAGATATTTTTAGCTGCAATTTTTTTAAAAATTATTTTATAAATTTTATACTGATAAAAAAGTGATTAAAAAATTATACTAATTATAATATACTAATAAAATAAAAAAAATTTTGTATAATAATTATATCTCTTGTTAAGAAATTATATTTTCTAATTCACCTTCTATAATCTACTTTGTTCTCTAGGAATCCCATTTCTGCATAATACGGACATGGAGTTGGCTCTGATTGTTGGCCAGAACCTGAAGGAATGTATTTTTTCAATTCCGCTCTGTAATTTCTGTAATCTGATTCCAACTTTTTCCATTGTGCAATTACTTGAGAAACTGCAAAATAAAAATCATAAAGATGATAAAACGTATATTTAATATTTTTTTAAATAAAACAATTTTACTTGCGTATATAATTGTGTGCGAAAAAATGTTGACAAGAAGTAATTATAACATTTCATAAATAATTTGCATTGTTTTAACATAAAACGAGATTTTTCGATTCAAAATTGATAAAAAAATTAAATTGTTAATGGATTTAACAAAAACATTTTTGTAGTCTCAAAATTTCAGAAACTTATTCTTATTGTAGGTATAAGTACGGGTTAAAAACGTACGATTTATTTTCATGTATTATTATTATTTTATTTTCATTTATTATTATTGTTATTATTATTATTATTATTATTATTATTATTATTATTATTATTATTATTATTATTATTATTAGCATTATTATTAGTATATAATTAATATTTTTATTAAATGTTTATACTCACCATTCATATTTAGTTTTGTTCTCCCATTGTAGTTGAATGTTACAATTGCCCATGACCTGTTGCGTGCATCGTTATCTCTGTACGGTTCTAGAGATTGATCATAAACATTCGGAAAACTTTCAACTAATTTAATTAATAACAAATTGTAAGGGTTACTGGCCGCCGCCATTGAATTTGTTTTTTCTTCAACTTTTAAACAATTAAATGAAACAATACGATTATTCTCCCACGATTCGATAATAATAGAATAATAATAGAATATCGATCACTGTGAGTCAGTTTAAAAAAATATACTACGGTATAAATTATAATTTATTTTATTTTAGTAACTTCTTGATGAACTATATATATGATTTTTTTATGTAAAAGTTTAAAAATACATAAGGAACACTTTCTGATAATAATAAAAACGCCGGGCAATAAGCAAGAACTACAAGGTTATAGTTAAAAATAAATCAGAATAAATGCGAAACATAATTTGTTCTCTTGGCTTTGGCCAGGTATAGTCATATTTCTTTATCCTTTTCTGGTGGATGTGTTTCCATAGTAACACGTGCGTTAGAGAAGGACAGAAATGATGAAGACATATCTCGGAACAAACAAACCTTTGTATCTTATTTACTTTGGGTAACTTAGTTTGCCGGTTAAGACTTGATATAACGTGGATATAACACATGGAATTGCCGTTAAAATTCTTGTCGTTTGTTTGTTTGTTTATAAAATTAGGAAGTAATATTTACATTAAATAATTTAAATGTTCTATGTGTACTTTATTGACTGAGGTGCTCATTTTTATTATTCAAATATGTAAGTTATTTCATTATTAAATTATAAACTGGCATATAAATTAACGTTTTTAAACATTGAGATTGCGCTTTGTTTTTCTTTCATTTCCACAGTATACAAAGAGATTAAAATTTTGAAAAATTTGATTAAATTGAATTAAAAATAATTATTTTTTATGTGGATTTAATTGTATATAATTTCAACTTGTGATTTTTGGAAAAAAATATAATGGAAAACGTAATAGTTTCGTAGAATTATCATTTATTTTTTTCCAGCTAATGAAAATAAAATTCTGCAATGGCGAAGCAGTTACTAACTATGTACGAAATTCAATTTCTGGACTTAATTAAAAGTAATCCGATTGTTTACGACGTAAAATTACAAAGAACTTGTGCAGACGGAAACATTGACAATATATGGAAACAAATGACGACTTATCTGAACAATAATAATTTTCCATTTCGTGGTAAGTAAAGTTTTAATTGTAACTGAAAAATTTTGTATCCCATACTAATTATAAATTACTAATTATACATTTAATAATTTCTTTCTGTAAAAAAATAACAGGACATACAATTATAATAACACTTTAAAAACATACTTTTTTTAAATATTGTCTGTTAAGGTTATTAATGGATTTTAAATTCGCACAACTAAATTAAATTGTATATTTTTTTGTTAAAATATTTAACTAATCATATAGTAAATTATCATATAACTAATTCAGTAAATTATCTCCAATTTTAACTGCTTTTTTAATCTTTCATCTCTTTAGAATTTTTTTATTATATTATACATTATATTGTTATACCTTTTCATATTGTTATCTATTTTTTCTACATTATGAATTTTTAACCTTAATTGACAATTTTTTACATTTTTGTTATATTTTTGAAATATATAAGCTTAAATTTACAAAAATTAAATTTTGATTGCAATGTGAAATAGTTAATTTTTTAATTAACTACATTTAAAATTTTTGTAAACAAAAAATTTATAATTGGTTACAATTTATATTATTTTGTTTTATTCATTTAAATTTTGATTAATTTTTGAAAATTGTGTTAAGACATTAGGTCCTTTTAGAATTTAATTTCAAAATTTCATACTTTTTTTTTCTATAATAAACCTCTGATAAAAATTTCATTTACAAATAACATCAGTGTGTATGAAGTATTAAAAATTTTTTAAATCATTATAATTCTGGAAACAAAGGATGGTATTTGTATAACCACATGCTGTTCCTGGTTGGACATTTTAAACAGTAACTATTTTTTATACAATTTCAACTATATATAAATTAAAAATAATTTTTATTTTCATTTTTATAAGTTTCATTATGTTCATAAGGCTGCGAATGAGACAAGACTTCACAATTAAAGTATAGCCACAGTTTACAATTTCATAATTATAACTTTCAGTTTCGTCGACTTTCAATCTTTAAAGCTTTTAAAAAATTAAAAATTATAGCTGCAGAATATTATTGTTTATTTATTTACTTTAAATGAATTTTATTATATACTTAAATAATTTATTAGTGAAATAATTTGTTATTTAAATACACAATTTTTAAAAGTTTCAAAACATATCTCCTTCTTTTGGGATTTACGTTTTTGACAAGACGTACATTGTGTCTATTGGAACGTAAAAAACAAACATAAAAAACTACATGATATAAATATGGTTTTGTTTTCTATCTTCCGATTGATCGAATTGACGTATTATCAAATTACAGGAAAGTTTTTAAAAAGATTCGATTTTCATCATAATATAGATATTTTTTTATGATTTAACCTTAGATAATAATTAAATTATACCTAAACTAGTCTCAGTCTCGTGAGCAATCATTGTGATGTTTGTTGCTCGCATAAGAAATTAAATGTATAAATTGTATTATAAAAAAATTTTGAAATTCTTTAAAACTATTTAAATTATTTAATTTTATTAGCAATCCAAAGCCAAAGCCAAAGAAGACAAGTGGTAGGGGGAGAACTTCGAACCCATATTTGACGTTAAGTGGACCTATTGGGCATCTAAGTCAGCAAATTCATCAGAGTAAGTACCTATTAAACTTGCCTTGCAAACTTGTAAATTTTTTTAAAAGTAAATTGCACAAATATTAAAATTTTTAAAAAGTATTCAAGTCTTAATTCATATATTTTATTTTAAATAAAAAGTTGATACTAATACTATAATACTTAATCACGTTTTTTCACTTTAGTACCTACACTTGAGGGCATAAATCCACTTACTTCAAACGCAAGTGCATTCCAGAATCCGTCACTGGATCCAAACGCAAGCGCATTCCAGAGTCCGTCACTTGCTCCAAACGCAAGTGCATTCCAGAATCCGTCACTGGATCCAAACGCAAGCGCATTCCAGAGTCCGTTACATGCTCCAAACGCAAGTGCATTCCAGAATCCGTCACTGGATCCAAACGCAAGTGCACTCCAGTCACCGTTCACTTCAACCTCAAGAAAAGCAGTTACCACTCGCTTCAATCTCAAGTACAGCGCAGTTACCACTCGCTTCAACCTCAAGTACAGCGCACTTACCACTCGCTTCAACTTTAACTGCATTCCAGACACCGTTCAGTGCTGAAAGAACATCGGAAGGAGAATTTTTGAAACATGAGGTGCTCTTCTTTCAAGACGAAATCATTCAAATCGACGATGTTTCATCTGACGAAAACACATCAAGGGATACAAATTCAATGGAACTTAACACGGCATTTGATACAAATTCAATAGAATTTAACACGGCATTTGATACAAATCATTCGAACTTGGGCAGCACTTTTGCTTCCTCTGAAAATGTAAATTTTGTAGATGAAGCAATGCGCTCATCTACAGGACTTATATTTCCCGAACCATCTGCATTCTCATTTCCACGTGTTATGGACATTCCAAATTCCCGTGGAAAGGAGCCAATTGTGCCCCCACACGACAACTACAAACGAAGACGCAGCAGCAATGATAACTTGGGATCAGTTAAGGAAGATGTTTCACGAACCGCAGATGATTTTCATAGTTTAACTGTGAATGTCATAGAGACAACTAAACTGAAGCAAGAAGTTTTGCGAAAACAACTGAGACCATCAGAATCGGATCCGATGTTTCAGTTGTTAATGTACCATTGGAGGCGTCTTTCGAGCCAAGAGCAGGCGGAAATGCTCTCTCCGGCATTGGACATAATGGAAAATTTTTCAACTTCTTAATCAATAAACAAAACAATGACCTCTCAGATCGATCTAGTGGTCATTATTTTTAACATATTATATGTTCGATAATTTATTGGTTAATGGTTGACAAAAGCACAATGCTTCGACTAGATTTATTGTTTCATTTTTTTCGTTTGACGATGTAAGTTAAATCGTCCTTTTTTCTATAAATTTTAATAAAATATGACCTCTCAAATCGATATCATTATTTCTATGCCATGTTTTTATGAAAAACATAAGAAAAAATGATGGTTATTAGCTTTTGACAAAGTTTGTTTTAAAAATAGAAAAATTATATTATTAAATTTAAAAAGCTTTTAAAAGCTAGTCCAATTTGAGAGGTCCTATGTCGTTATTAAATGAGTATTTTTTACTTTATGTTGCAATACTTACTTCTTCATAGAAAGATTGTTCGTTGATATTTAAAAAAAAACAATATGTGTCGACTACATATTGAGATGTTTGTCGATTGTTAATGGTTGAAAATGTTACGAACCGAAAAAATATTAATTATAAAAATTATTATTTTCTATGTCCTGGAGGCACCAAGCTGCCGAAATAAAAAAATTTCGTTTAATTTTATGGGATCGTGTATCCTTTTTTAGAAGAAAACTGCCAAGTTACGTTATTCGGAATTGAATTTAAGGGTTAAGACACAATGAAACAATTAAGACCCTTTTATACATTTATTATAAAAAGAAATCTTTGATTTTAAAAGGTTGAAATAATACAATAAGATAAGAAAATGGAACGATACATGTTAAAAAAAACTTACTCTACTGCTTATTATACCGTCGCAAGCTAACGAGGGCGAGGCGTCGAGCTGCTTTCCGACGGGCGGAAAAATACACACACTTAGCAAAGCGCGAAAGTGTCTATTGGTAGCGCACGAAAATTGCACTCACGGGTCCACCGAATCTAAACAGCGCAGGCACCACACGTGCGGACTGGCCGGTCAAAAAGACAAAAATTCAATAATTTGATTTTATTCAAATTACTGGATTTTTATTAAAGACGACTTCCGTTGGACTTCGTCGGCGTGAACTTTAACTTTTCGTCCGTCCAATTTTAATCACTATCTATGTAGTGGATTGCAAAAATTGAAAAACCGACTCACGGACGGGCTTAGTCCCGGCGTCTCAAAATCGTTTTTATGCCTCTGAAAAATTTCAGAGCTGACTCGCGAATGAGAGTTGTACTGCCATTAATTGACTTCCGCGATGCACTTTTATATGAACGTTTAGAGACTTCAGGTGGGAAAATTTTGTGGACTAAGGGTTTTTAACACGTGAACAAGGCGTGAGCTCTGGGCCTGTTACTATGCCAATAATGCTGAGTTTTTATTTTCTTTTAATGGTATAGCCAAATATAATAATATGCACTTGATAAAATCAAGCATAATTATTATTGAAAAGACTTGTTGTCTTTTGGATTTATTTTATTAATTTTCCTTGTTGGAAAATGATTTGATTTTTGGCATTTTTACCCTTTTTTTATTTGCAACAATTACAACGTTGATGTTGTGTTGTTATGAGCATGTAGGATTGTTAGGCCCAGAATACGTAATAAAAAAAAAGTGGGGGGGTAGAGTAAGAAAAGGATGGAAGCTGAAGAATTACGTTCAAGAAAAAGCTCATCGCGTAGATTTATTTTAACTATTATTATTATTATATCCCTTTTTTTCGCGAGAAGTCCAATTTCTAGTGTGGCTCCTGTACACATCCATACTCATTTTTTTTTGGACCCGCAAGTGATAATATCGTGTCTCACAAAACAAAGTATCCATTATTATCTTCTTCAATCAATAATTCCGTTAAATTTTAAATTATGAACATTGCCGCAGCATTCGATGCATTCAGGGTGCTGCTGCAATGTTCGTTAACGCACTCGCGACATTCGCAACATTACCGTTCGCTACTTTCTTCAATTTTAAGTGGGGAACATTGCCGCAACGTTTAATGCGCTCAGAACGCTGCCGCAATGTTCACTAACACATTCGCAACATTCCCTTTTACTAACTTCTACAATTTTCGTTTGGGAACATTGCCGCAACGTCCAACGCACTCGGGGCGCTGTCGCAATGTTCGTTAACGCACTCGCAACATTCACAACATTACCGTTCGCTACTTTCTTTAATTTTAAGTAGGGAACATTGCCGCAACGTTTAACGCATTCAGAACGCTGCCGCAATGCTCATTAACACATTCGCAACATTCCCATTTGCTAACTTTTACAATTGTGGTTTGGGAACATTGCCGCAACGTCCAACGCATTCGGAACGCTGTCGCAATGTTCATTAACGCACTCGCAACATTAGAATTAAAAATTTTCAATTATATTTCATATATATAATGATCCTCACTTTTTAAGGTTATATTTAATTATGAATGCCCGTAGAAATTTGAATTATATTAGAGTACATGCACATATATCCATTGGTGATATTTGCGATTTACATTTTTATTCTAAATAGTTGTAATAATAATATGTGCACACATAACATTCCAAGAATAAGGCCCGAGTCCGTTCCCATCGCATTATGCTGACGATTGAATTTTTATTATCAAAGTATTGTGTTAAAATTTACGAAAAGTAAATTTCAGCACAATACAAAAAAATTAAATTTTTAGGTACCACCGTGACAAACCACCGTGAATATTCCCGTTTTTGTCCCCAAAAACTATAAGCGATGAGAACGAAATCGGGCTAATAATAATTAAATAATAATATTAATATATCGCATGAGAAGAAAAAAAAAAAAGAAGAGAAAAGAGAATTATAAGATTGCTTTTATATATTATTTTTGCTGATTCTTTGTCTGGACGTTGGTGCCAGAGAGTCGGATGTGGAGTATCAGGTTGCACTGATAAGGACCAAGGAGCTGCACGTGTAGCAGTCTCCGCGGTCCAGACTCAGCTCCCCTCATTCAGTTTGCTGGCGACCTGTGGGTAGTAGACTTTTCTCGTACCCCATTGTTTCGCGCGATCAGAAAGTGAGTGGTGAAGTGTGGTGCAAATATATAAAAAAAAAAGAAAGAATAAAAAAAGTGTTAAAATGAGTGAAAATGTAAGTAATTATCGACAGGGGTTGTTGGGCCTTTTGGAAAAGGTGAAGGGGATGCAGCTGGCCAAAGTACAGGAGGAGGAAGAGCGGGCCCCTACATCGGAGGACAACGATAGAATGGAAAAAATATTTGTTTGCATCCAACTTCGTAATGTGTTGGGGGGGCTCAGTGGGGAAAGAGGGTAAGTCCAAAAATACCTAAGGTTTTGAGAAATTAAAAATTTTGAAAAATTATATTTTTTTGATAAAATGTGGAAAAATAATAATTTTAATAAAATTGCGAAAATTATAATTTTTTGATAAAATGTTGAAAAATTATAATTTTTATAAGATTTTGAAAAATTACAATTTCGACAAAATGTTGAAAATTAACAACTTTTATAAGATTTTGAAAAATTACAATTTCGACAAAATGTTGAAAATTAACAATTTTTATAAGATTTTGAAAAATTACAATTTCAACAAAATGTTGAAAAAAATAACAATTTTTATAAGATTTTGAAAAATTACAATTTCGACAAAATGTTGAAAAATTATAATTTTTATAAGATTTTGAAAAATTACAATTTCGACAAAATGTTGAAAATTAACAATTTTTATAAGATTTTGAAAAATTACAATTTCGACAAAATGTTGAAAAATAACAATTTTTAATACAATTTTGAAAAATTATAATTTTCTTCGATAAAATGTTGAAAAATAATAGTTTTAGCAAAATTGCGAAAATTATAATTTTTTGATAAAACGTTGAAAAAAATAACAATTTTTAATACAATTTTGAAAAATCATATTTCTTTGATAAAATGTGGAAAAATTATAATTTTTATAAGATTTTGAAAAATTACAATTTCGACAAAATGATGAAAAATAACAATTTTCAATACAATTTTGAAAAATTACAATTTTTTCGATAAAATGTTGAAAAATAATAGTTTTAGTAAAATTGCGAAAATTATAATTTTTTGATAAAACGTTAAAAAAAATAACAATTTTTAATACAATTTTGAAAAATCATATTTCTTTGATAAAATGTGGAAAAATTATAATTTTTATAAGATTTTGAAAAATTACAATTTCGACAAAATGTTGAAAATTAACAATTTTTATAAGATTTTGAAAAATTACAATTTCAACAAAATGTTGAAAAAAAAATAACAATTCTTTAATACAATTTTGAAAAATCATATTTCTTTGATAAAATGTGGAAAATTAACAATTTTTATAAGATTTTGAAAAATTACAATTTCGACAAAATGTCAAAAAAAAATAACAACTTCTAATACAATTTTGAAAAATTATGATTTTTTTCGATAAAATGTTGAAAAATAATAATTTTAACAAAATTGCGAAAATTATAATTTTTTTGGTAAAATATTGAAAAATAATAATTCTAATAAAATTGCGAAAATTATAATTTTCTGATAAAATGTTGAAAAATTATAATTTCTATAAGATTTTGAAAAATTACAATTTCGACAAAATGTTGAAAAATTATAATTTTTATAAGATTTTGAAAAATTACAATTCCGACAAAATGTTGAAAATTAACAATTTTTATAAGATTTTGAAAAATTACAATTTCGACAAAATGTTGAAAATTAACAATTTTTATAAGATTTTGAAAAATTACAATTTCGACAAAATGTTGAAAAATTATAATTTTTATAAGATTTTGAAAAATTACAATTTCGACAGAATGTTGAAAATTAACAATTTTTATAAGATTTTGAAAAATTACAATTTCGACAAAATGTTGAAAATTAACAATTTTTATAAGATTTTGAAAAATTACAATTTCGACAAAATGTTGAAAAATTATAATTTTTATAAGATTTTGAAAAATTACAATTTCGACAGAATGTTGAAAATTAACAATTTTTATAAGATTTTGAAAAATTACAATTTCGACAAAATGTCAAAAAAAAATAACAACTTCTAATACAATTTTGAAAAATTATGATTTTTTTCGATAAAATGTTGAAAAATAATAATTTTAACAAAATTGCGAAAATTATAATTTTTTTGGTAAAATATTGAAAAATAATAATTCTAATAAAATTGCGAAAATTATAATTTTCTGATAAAATGTTGAAAAATTATAATTTCTATAAGATTTTGAAAAATTACAATTTCGACAAAATGTTGAAAAATTATAATTTTTATAAGATTTTGAAAAATTACAATTCCGACAAAATGTTGAAAATTAACAATTTTTATAAGATTTTGAAAAATTACAATTTCGACAAAATGTTGAAAATTAACAATTTTTATAAGATTTTGAAAAATTACAATTTCGACAAAATGTTGAAAAATTATAATTTTTATAAGATTTTGAAAAATTACAATTTCGACAGAATGTTGAAAATTAACAATTTTTATAAGATTTTGAAAAATTACAATTTCGACAAAATGTTGAAAATTAACAATTTTTATAAGATTTTGAAAAATTACAATTTCGACAAAATGTTGAAAAATTATAATTTTTATAAGATTTTGAAAAATTACAATTTCGACAGAATGTTGAAAATTAACAATTTTTATAAGATTTTGAAAAATTACAATTTCGACAAAATGTCAAAAAAATAACAACTCTTAATACAATTTTGAAAAAGTATGATTTTTTCGATAAAATGTTGAAAAATAATAATTTTAATAAAATTGCGAAAATTATAATTTTTGGTAAAATATTGAAAAATAATAATTCTAATAAAATTGCGAAAATTATAATTTTCTGATAAAATGTTGAAAAATTATAATTTTTATAAGATTTTGAAAAATTACAATTTCGACAAAATGTTGAAAAATTATAATTTTTATAAGATTTTGAAAAATTACAATTTCAACAAAATGTTGAAAAAAATAACAATTCTTTAATACAATTTTGAAAAATTATAATTTTTTTCGATAAAATGTTGAAAAATAATAATTTTAATAAAATTACGAAAATTATAATTTTTTTGGTAAAATATTGAAAAATAATAATTCTAATAAAATTGCGAAAATTATAATTTTTTTGATAAAATGTTGAAAAATAATAATTTTTAATACAATTTTGAAAAATCATATTTCCTTGATAAAATGTGGAAAAATTATAATTTTTATAAGATTTTGAAAAATTACAATTTCGACAAAATGTTGAAAATTAACAATTTTTATAAGATTTTGAAAAATTACAATGTCGACAAAATGTTGAAAAATTATAATTTTTATAAGATTTTGAAAAATTACAATTTCGACAGAATGTTGAAAATTAACAATTTTTATAAGATTTTGAAAAATTACAATTTCGACAAAATGTCAAAAAAAAATAACAACTTAAAAATAACAACTCGGCCCTGGCTGTCCGTTACAATACTCGTGTACGCTCTGCTCTTTAATTTTTTGTACTTTTTAAGGTATAGGCTGCCTTGTGAATATTTTAGTGCACTCTCGTGACTTTAGTGACAATCGAACTCTTTTACGTTCTTTTTTTCTTAAGTTTTGTTTTGTTTTTTTATTAAATTTTGAGTCGGTGTGATTTTTTCCTGATTCTAACCTAACTTTTAGCCGGTTAAACATGGCAAATAAAGAAAAAATTTCGAATCCTAAAATATGCCTAGTGTGTAAACAGTCGGTCATTGATGCAGTTTTTTGTACCGCGTGTGATTCCCCTTATCACCCTGGATGTGCTAATCGCACAAGTTTATTATCTAATGGTGCATATTCCAAGTGTTGTCGTCCTCGTACACCTACTTTCTTGTCTCAGACTGATTCGAGCAGCTCTGTTCAACCTATGACAAGTACTTCTCCACAAGTTATGTCGAATGATAGTGTGGAATCAATCATCAACAAAGCGATTAAAGGCTTGCAGCAGGGTTTGGAGAAAAACTTTTCTTCGCTGACTTCAAATATTAATGATTTATCGAAAAAAGTTGACATTGTTTCCTCAAAAGTTGACGAGGCCGTTTTAACCGTCACTGACCATTCAAAACGGATTGCTGTGTTAGAAGGTACTGTTGAAAATTTGAACGTAGCCTCTCTTTCCCGTAATTGCATGTCTGAGATTCAGGATCGTCTTTCTCGTTCGTGCAATCTCATTCTATTTGGTTTTCCTGAAATTGTTAAAAATAATTCTAATGATGAGAGTCAAGAAAAAATTCTTGAATCAATTTCGCAACTTTTTTCAAATTTTTGCACACCTGGTTTTCTTAATAATTCAAAACCATTAAGAATTGGTAAATTTGCGCAGACGCAGAAGCATCCGAGACCAGTGAAAATTATTTTCGAATCAAAGGAAAAAGCGAAGGCAGTTCACTCGTCATTCTTGACCGCAAAAAGAGACGAGATTCATCGTCCTCTTATAATGAATATGCGTCTCTCTTGGGATATGACGAGCATGCAGTTGGAGGAAATGACAGAGATGAGGAAAGAATTGGAGAACCGCCGTCAAGCAGGAGATACAGGTGCTCGAATCATGTTCCGGCGCGGTGTTCCGACAGTGGTGTCAACCTTTCAACGACAGAGGCAGTCCAGTGTGCGTGCCTCACAGATATCTTAAATCAAAGTGTTCGTGCTGACTTGTCATCTGCTTCTGGTGTTCTCGCGAGTGTTATCCCCTCCCACTCAGCACATGATACTACCACAGCTGATTCTCATTCTATTACCGTTTACTATCAAAACGTGAGAGGTTTGAGAAGTAAACTTGTTGATCTTCGCTTATCTTTAACGTCGGTTCTCTTTAAAATTTTCATTTTCACAGAAACTTGGCTCAACTCCTCATTTAGTTCTAATGAACTCGGTTTTTTAAATTTTGATATTTTTCGTATGGATAGAAACTACCACTCTAGTAATCATTTGCGCGGTGGTGGGGTGTTAATTGCTTGTGACTCATTGTTGTGTGCATCAACTCTAGTGACAGATGAACTATCAGTGGAGCATATTTTCGTTAAATTTTTTTATTTGACTTTTTTATATATTGTTGGAACATTTTATATTCCTCCAAATTCAGATTATAAAGTATATTTATCCGTTTGCAACATTATTGAAAAAATCTCAAACACGTATCCAAATGCTAAATTAATTATCACTGGTGATTTCAACTTACCCTTCATCTCATGGCGTTTACCTTTTGAAAGCGGACCTTCTTGTAAATCTAAACTAAGTACTTCTCAATCTTATAATCAAATTGCAAATCGATTGTCAG